AACAGATCTTGTCCTTTAAAATAAGGAACAAGCTGAGCTTTCCAAAGAAGATAGTTGTCGTTGTTGAGTTTGAGGGTAACTATGTTAGACATATTGGTGATGGAGGGTGAAGAAGAAAAGGAGGACATGATGCTAGACGTTGGTCTTTTAAAGGCTTTGATACCATATAGAGAATGAGAATAATTTATATTATTGTGTATGGAACTTACAATCATGCAGTCTCTTATATAGAAATTGAGACTAACTACAATCCTATAATTAAGGAACATTCAAATTCAAAGTAAGCTGCTGGTAGAGGATTAAGGAATTGATAAGTTCTCTAGATTTGTCTCTGATATATCATCATCTGAAATATCTGCCGAGTTGTTGGATGTAACAGATTTATCAACCTGATCTTCCACCTGATCTTCCATAAATATAAAATTCAAGCCTTAGTTTCGTTGGTTCAAGAGGGAGTAAATGGGTTGAGTCGGAAGCGAAGGTGGCAGTGGCGGGTCGTGGTGGCCATAAGGTTTATTTGGTTTGGTTTCGTTTGGTTTAGCGTGGGGTGGTGTGGGGTGGTGTTGAGGAGGAAGATCATGAACAGTTTTGGCCTTTTATTTTTTTTATTTTTTTTATTTTTTTGATTATTTTAAGGCATAAATTGTAAAGTTAGCATTTTATCCTCTTTAAATTTGGTCAAAATTAACATTTTTGGTCAACTAATGATCAAACGAATGATTTCCATTCATTTAAACCTCTGCTGCATATTTTTGAAAGGTTAAGAACTTTCTCTGACATAAATTGAAGGTTAGAAACCCTTATTGCAATTTTCCCTTATTTTTTTACATCTACCATTTACCACGATGGTAGCAATAATGCTCCACGAACAGGAAAAATGATAGGAGCTGTCAGGAAGAAGTGATATGGCAAAATTAGGTGACGTATTTTTTTATTTATTTTTTTCAAATGCATCGATTTCCTCCATCATTGAGCATGTCAACACAATAAGATTGTAATGGTAAACGATGCTCATAGCTTGCCCACTCATTTACCGTTTGATGGAGAAAAATAACCCTAAATCTATATTTGATTTAACTAAAAATTTAAATTGAAATCAAAATCAAAGTCAATAATTAATTTTAATCGCATTTTACAAAACTCAAAAATTTTCAACCACACGTTCCATCAACTTCAATCAAAATTCATTTTTACCTAATCCAAATGAGGACTCAAAAATAGAAAGATCTCAACCAAGTTACATATGGCAATAGGGCACCATTCTCACTAGAGCTCTACAAAATCTAGCAAAAAGATCATATCACAAAGGACACTTGAAAATCCAGTTCTTTATAGTGCAAGTTGACCTCGAGAAAATGAAATAGGGTGCGCAAAAGATCAACTCCTACTTCCACATCAACATGAAAGACGCCATGTCTTTCAGATAGAGGGCATCGAAGGAAAAGGAGAATTAGCACATGACCACCACAGAGCCCTATAGTGGATGGGATGCCCTCGGACATAGCACAGTGATGCAAAGGACAGGAATGAGATTATTTCACGTCTTGCTGACAGTCGCAGTATACAGACAGCTCTTGTTCCCTAACCTGCTGGAGCACATCTCGCGATTTACTTCCCTCACAAAGCTCTAGGAGCGAGACGGTGAGGGGCTCTCAAGGTTTGGGTTCAACATTTTTTTTTTAGTACAACGGATGGGACTCTCAACTTGGGGCTTTCGTTCTGTTACAAATCCCCCCAGACTAGTGACTAGGCTGTATCATGTGAAAAATCAAGGAGTCTTGACATGGAAGGTCACGAGAATATATAGCTAGAACTTGAATACAACTAAGTTGATACTAACTCGACATGAATTACAAACACTGACAAAGGCAGCTAAAGCAATTGAGGTTATTAGGCAAAAAAATTGGGGGAACATCAATAATAATATAAAAAATCAAATTACGAAACTTGGTCCTTGGAGGTTTATCTCATTTAAGGCATAAATACGAAACATAATGCCACCATAGACTAAAAGAACAATATTACAATCATCATCGTCAACGAATAATTTGAATGCAGCATCTACAACCCCAAAAAGAAAAATAATAATAACAGATGAAGAAATAACAATTGAATGTAGCATGAAACCATTAAATTGAACACAAAATTAAAAACGATGAAAAATCAGTCCATTTATTAACAAGGAGGTTACAGTGAACATAATCAAAAAGCAATAAGATCGATGAAGTGAACTTTCACAGAAAAAGTAAATAATAACAAATTCAAATCAGTGCACAAGGGTGTGTCTGGGAGTGCTTCTCACCAAGGGTGTGTTTGGTAGATATTTTTGTGTAAAAATATTAGGTGTAATATTATTTTAATAAAGAATGTGTTGTAAAAAATAAGAGAAAAAAATGTATTTTGAAAAAAAAAAAGTACCAAACGGGGTACAAATTGTAACGAGAATTTTACCCGTTATTTATAGCACGTAGGTCCCATGTTAGCAGCAGTTTTTAAAATTTTAAAAATGAAATATCGAAAATACCCATCTATCATTACAAAAGAATTAAATGATAAAGGTAAAAATGTCATTTTGTCGAAAAATTGTCTTACATTTCAGCTGCATGTCTGACATATTAATTAAAGCACTGCAGCCCGAGTCCCACTTACCTCATCCAACGGTCAAAAAATGCATTTCACCGGTGGCAACACGTTAATCAATGATTGGCATTAAGAATCAGAGACAATTATCAAAAAGACTATCAGACCGGATATGTTGTGCACATTGCAACATTAATGATTCAATATTAATGACCAAAGTAAAACAACAAAACTTAACAAACATCAATAGACAAAATTAAATTGCTGCTCAATATCTCAAGAGATTCGGACAACCCACCATTTCATGAACATAATAATCTTTCAAAACATAAAGCAAAACCACTAGAATGACTTAACAATGCAGACACTAACGTTTGCAGGAAAAGCTACAAGCGTACTTAAAAGAGCTCCTTCTAATCAAACAAACCGAAGCCCATATCTTCGTCACTCTCCTCCTTGGGCTCCTCCTGAAAAAAAATTATTCAAATGTGCACTGTCAATTAATTAATCTAAAGAATTAATGTTAAAAATATATTAAAATTGCAATTATAATACAACATAATACAAGTATCATATCATAACCTATCGGACAAAAGTATAAATGAAGTAAAGAAAATACATTTTTCTCCTCAGCAGCCGGGGCGGCTGCGGCAGCAGCACCAGCACCAGCACCAGCGCCACCAGTAGGGGCAGCAACTGCTACTGCAGCAGCAGCACCACCAGCTCCAACGTTCATGATAAGGTCCTCAATGTTCCTTTTCTCACAGAGCTTAGCAAAAAGGCTTGGCCAGTATGATTCGACTTTCACATTAGCGGCTTTAACTAGTGTCGAAATTTTCTCCGCCTAAAATTCAAAAACAAAGGGCCCCAGCTAAGATCCAGAAACAAAAATCATTATTCATACCCTGATGTTTACATATATGGGGTTGAAAGAAACGTTACAGTGATAGGGATGCCATCATCGTGAAGGATCAAGCAAGCATAGGTACAAGCGGCTTCTCCTGAAGACATTTTCCTTCAAATAATTCTGATCTACGGAAGATGAAATTATTATGAACAAAAAGAAAAACCTTATAGTTATTACTATATATAAATTTGGAGAAAATATCACAAGAATTGAATAATTGAATAGAATATATAAAAAACCAAATGAAAATGAAGGATTTACCTTCTCAGCCTTAGAGAAATTGCAGCTGCGAGTTCTCAGGTTGCGGTGAAAAGGATGGGTCTCTGTGGAGGGTTTCTTTTTATATGTTAGCTAAATTAGGGCACAGAATAGATCTGACAGAACCATAGTCTCATGGGCTTTATAGTTTGGACGGAGGCCCATCTATTTTGGTTGTTGACGACCCAATCCTTTTTTTATTTATTTTCTATTTTAGCACAAAAAGGGATTTTTCTTTTTTTTTATTCCCTAATATACTAACTAATATATGTGTTGTAAACTAGAGGTGGGCACGAATCGATCGGTTCTCGGCCCATCTATTTTGGTTGTTGACGACCCAATCCTTTTTTTATTTATTTTCTATTTTAGCACAAAAAGGGATTTTTCTTTTTTTTTTATTCCCTAATATACTAACTAATATATGTGTTGTAAACTAGAGGTGAGCACGAATCGATTCGGTTCTAAAGAGAACCGAATCGAATCAAAATTTTTGGGTATCTAATAAATGGAACCGTTGGGTCCAAATATAATTATGGAATCGTTCGGATTCGATTCCGCTCGGTTCTGTACTATAATTAAATATTTTAATATTTATAACAACATTATACAAATACAACTATTGACACATTCGATGGTTTTGGAATGTCAGAAACTAGTAGACTACCTTGTTCAAATGATCGCTACAATCAAAGTTTCAATTGGCAGAGGTCACAGCGTTGGCCAACCATTGTATATGTTTTGGAATGTCAGCGAGACTACAAGAGTGAGTGCGAGAGTCGAGACAGCATTATACACATTAGTGTAGGTGTTTAGGGTTATTTAGTGGGTTGGATTTTGTTGGGCTGAGAAATGAAACAATAAAATGGGTAATTGGGTCAAAAATTAAAAAATTAGAAATGAAACAAATTATTGGCAAAAAAATTTGGATTTAGAAATTGTTAATTTGTCGATTTGTTTAGAAAAAATTAAAATTAAAATAATTTGATTTATTCAATATAAAAAAATTTAAAAGATTCGATTTTTATTCGATTTTCTGGTTCTTGATCTAGAACCGAGAACTGAACCGTACCCGTCAGTTCTCAATTCAGATACCCGTTCGGGTATTTAATTTGATAAGAACCGTCGGGTTCGGTTCGATTCGGTTCGGGAGACTAAATTAACTGTTTGGCATCACAATGTTTTATTAATTGTATATATTACATAATTTAAACATTATTTATTCATCGTATGTCTATATTGTTTTTGTATAAATAAATTTATTTCACATCATAAAAAACTACAAAATTAAATATTTTAACTATATTGTCATCGCACATTTATCTTAATATAAATCGAATTACTTAAAATTTATCTATTTAATATTCCATAGAATCTGACACATTAATATTAAAAAAAAATACTGAAATACAATAACATCTTGTGTTAAATTTCAAAATATATGATAACACGTTAACCTATGAAAAGATAATAATATATAGAACACGCACGTTAACACTTGAAAAGTAATTATGAGCCTGTTTGGGAGTGATTTTGAGAATTGATTTTTTAACCATTAGAAAAAGTGGGGTCCACCTATGAGAGAAGAAGTCAAATATGACGAGTGGAATAGTAAAATAACGGTTAAAAAATCAATTTTTTTGATGAAAAAATGGGGTCCAAACAAACCCTATATATTGGACTTTAACAAAACTTTGTGTCTAGCCAATAAATTCTTCTAAATTATTGATGAAGCTAAATCCGTCATTTTAGCCTTTGTTTGGTCCTCGTTAATTTCAATTTCATTACATTTCATTTTTTTATCTCCTATTTTCAACCACACAACCTCTTATAAAATAATATTACATTTAAAACGGAAACTTCCTTCCTTTTCAACCACTTATTTTTAAAAAAATACTATTCCACCCATTTCATTTCTCCAAATCGAGGGCCAAACGGGCTCTTAGTGTTGAAAGTAAGTGACTCATAAAAAGAGATAATCGTTTAAACCAATGAAGAGATTATTAAAAATGAAATGTAACGCAAATGAAGACGTTTATAGTGAAGATAAAGTTGCGAATTATCTTGTTTGTAGCATTTAGTTTCATTATTCAATTCATTTACTTGTTATAGAGTGAAAATGATACTACATTTGCGACAAATTATATTAGGTAGAAAATTAATTTCGATTAATACGGAAGACAAGTAATATAAAATTTATTATTCACATGTTTCACAAGTTTAAAATTTTATATGAAATCATTTGATTGAAACAAAAGCATTAACTAAATCATTTCAACAAAATTAAAATTTGAAACTCTAACATAATTGGGTGATCATTAAAAATGTTTACTTGTTATTTTATTTTGCCCAGCGTTCATTTCTTCTTCTTCTTCTTCTTCTTATTATTATTTATTAGAAACTTACCCTACACTAAATTTGAATCAAGGTTAATTTCCATTTTGGTCGCTGAAATTTGATAAAATCTCAATTAAGTTTTCCAACTTCGATTTGTGGCAATAAAATTACTGAACTTATAATTTAATAGTTTAACTTTGTCGGCTTTCACTAGTAAACTTATTGCCTCAATCCTTCGTTAGCCATATTTCAATGTAAACATACCACAATGCCGCGACTGCAAAGTCTTAACATTGGAGATTAATATAGCTCTGGTATGTTAATTTGGATAAATTATCTTAGATATGTAAACAAAATTTATTTTCAAAGTTTATATTTACGACATAATTAGATGACATCTATTTAGAACGTAATAAATACTAGATTTCAATTCATGTAGGATTGTGAAATTAAATTTTAGTAAATGTTACTATCAAGGTTACTAACATCAAAAGTAAAATAATATTCATTGATCGTACAAGGACAATAGAGTTTAGTGAGCTAATTGAAATTTCTTAGAGAGCTCAGTGACCAAAAAATAAAAATACCTTTTTAATCGATGGGTGAGATGGAAAACTTGGGGATTATAATGTCAAGTGGGTTCCACTGATGTTAGGCTCAGTAAAACTATCCCGATAGGGATAGTCGACAGATTTTGGAAATAGATACTGAGTGTCATCACCTATTTCGTTATCCTTTTTTTTTCTAACTACCTAATCAGTGAATGACGCGTGTCTAACTAGGGGGCCGTTTGAGCCCCATTATTTGTAAATTATAATGAGATGAATATTATTTTTTTGAAAAATGAGTGATTGAAAAGTTTTTGATTTACATATAATATTATTTTATTGAAATTTGTGTGGTTAAAAGTAGAGGTGGGCGCGGGTCGGTTCAGTTCGGTTCTAAAGAGAATCGAACCGAACCAAAATTTTCGGGTATATAGTAAATGGAACTGTCGGGTCTAAATATAATTATGGAACCGTTCGAGTTCGGCTCCGTTTGACTTGGTTCGGTTCTGTACTATAATTAAATTTTTTAACATTTATAATAACATTATATAAATACAACTAATGATACATTCAATGGTAATGGAATGTCAGAGACTAGTAGACTACATTGTTCAAATAATCGCTACGATCAAAGTTTCGGTTGGCGAAGGTCACAGCTTCGATCTGAGGTCACAGCATCGACCGACGATTGTATAGGTTTTGGGAATGTCAGCAAGGTTGCGAGAGTGAGTGCAAGAGTCGAGACAGCATTATGCACTTTAGTGTAGGTGTTTAGGGTTATTTAGTGGGTTGGATTTTGTTGGGCTAAGAAATGAAACAATAAAATGGGTAATTGTGCCAAAAATTAAAAAATTAGAAATGAAACAAATTATTAGACTAAAAATTTGGATTTAAAATTTGTTAATTTGTTTAGAAAAAATTAAAATTAAAATAATTTGATTTATTCAATATAAAAAAAATTAGAAAGATTCGGTTCTTATTCGGTTATTCGGTTCTTAATCTAGAATTGAGAAACGAACCGTACCCGTCGGTTCTCAATTCAGATACCCGTTCGAGTATTTAATTTGACAAGAACCGTCGGGTTCGGTTCAGTTCGGTTCGAGTTTGGTTCGGTCAATTCGATTCGAAAAATTTGCCTAGCCCTAGTTAAAAGTAGGAGAGAGAAAAATTTAATTTAATGTAATGAGAAATAATGGGGCTCAAACGGGGGCCAAATTTAAACTCTGACCAAACCCTGTATTTGTAACATTCTCTATTAGGCTACCTTCTTGAATTTGGTGTTGATTTGATTGGTCGATAATTAGGTTTCACTATTAACGTGTTAAAAATAAAATATAAAATTATTCACTTATTCATTATTAATTTTTATCAATTTATAAAATAAACCCCTAATTGATATTCATTAACTTTTTTTTTTTTTTTATCAAACCCATTTTTAACTACACGTTCATATAATAAAATATTTTACACAAAAATTCAAAAAATTTCTTATTTTTTAACCACACATTCTCGAATGAATCATTATTTTGTTTTTATTTTTTTCAACAAGAAAACAAAATCATTAAAATGGAAGTCAAATGAGGGCTATTTTGTTTACAAATTATTCCCTAAAGGAGACTTATTTAAATAATTTGATAAAATATTACTAGTTTATTTATCCCATGCTTGGTACAAATTAAGTCAAAGTCAATAGTTAGCTCTTATTTGGTCACTATTATCTTCAAAATACATTTTCTCTCTCTCTCTCTCTCTCTTATTTTCAACCATGTATTTTACAATAAAATAATATTATACACAAATCTAATTTTTTCTTATTTTTTAATCACACACTCCCCATTAAAACAATATTCCAAAATGTATTATTTCCAAAAAAATAGGGTTCAACACATGCTCTTAATTTTAACCACATATTTTATGGATTCCAACTTTTCAATCACACATTTCATTAACTTATATCAAAATAAAATATACTGAAAAGTCGATTTTAATTCCCACCAACCATCGGCTCAATATCTTTTCTCCAAAAAAATGCAATTTAATTAAGCCATGGCATAGGACTTTCAAATCAAGATTGAGAGTACGAGTATGTCCTTTACTAGACCAATATCGGTTTCAATTTAAAAAAAAAAAAAAAATGATTGACCAGTCTAGGACTGGGATGAAAAAGTTCTAAAGGACGAGAACTAGCAATTTCCATTTGTATTAAACTACTGTTTGTATTTTG